GCATATATGACAGTCCTAACAGTTTGTACTATGTTACTTAGATACAGCTACCCAGGGCATGGGGCTGGTACATTTAGCTGGGTGAAAGTGGCATAAGGTGACAGTCAGGGAATAGGTATTGCAGAGATGCTGCGGATGTATTGGATGACTAGAACACAGAGACCGGAGCGTATTGGATCGCTTGAGCACAGAGTCTAGGGATTGATACATTGAGCTGAACACAATGACTCCTTGTGCTGCTTTTCTGTGCTGTGATAAGCTATCACGACCAGAATCAGCTTATGGAGTACAGAGTTTATTTTTGGCTTACAGTTTCAGAGGGATCAGAGTCTGTTGACACGGGTAAGGCAAGGCAGCAAGATGCCGAGAGATCACATCTTTAACTGTAAACGTGGAACAGAAGGCAAACTGGAAATGGGGTGGTATTTCCCTATAAACTCCCCAGAAGAGCACCATCAACTAAACTAGCATGAGGTGTTCAGATGCCTTGCATGTTCAGGTTTGGAACACAGGCTGGAAGTGAGACCTGTGTACAGTATGGAAACAGGAAGGTGTCCTTTTTTGCCAGAGGTGTCAGGGTAGCAACAGGAATTTAGGCGGCCTGGGGGTGGTCAGTTATAGACATTCCAGCTCTCAGGTGGCCTTGAGGGCATGGAGATGCAATGTCCTTTGTTCTTTCTGCTCCTCGAGAGAGCTGGGCTTGTAGTCTTTTCTCCCTGGGAATCTTGTAGCTTGCCCGGGAAGATGCTCACAGTAAATGCCTTTATCACCTGGGTGATGGCAGTGAATGGAAATTTGATGGAATGAGGACACAGGCTTCAGAGCTGCCAACATTTCAGCCAGAATATTACAGCCTCTGCTCACCCAGCACATGTCTTTTTCGAGGAAATGTGGGATATGACTTATCAAGCACACACAGGAAGCCGTAGTTGCTGTCCCTGGCTCCCCTCAGCTTGTGATCTCTGGCTTCTGCTTTCACATTTAGAGTGATCTTTTCCTCCTTTCTAATCTCACATCCCCACATTTTCTACTTTCCTCGTCAGACTTGTGTTCTGCAGCCATCACCGATACACATGCAGCATCAGGCAGTGCTGCTCCTAGAACACTGTTCTCTGTAAGCAAGGGTGCCACGAGGAAAAACTCACTAAAGGGAACCACGTGTCCCTTGAGTCACCTCATTGAGTCCTTGAGATCCCGCTCCAGCTGGTGCCTTTTGACTTGTAGACTGTGCAGGAGAGAAGAGAAAGGGCCTCTCGCATGTGCTCTCCACTGAGAAGAATTTCGAGCCACACCAGGGCTCAGGGTAAAGATGCTTGGGATTGAGGCTGTGGTGTGGTCATCCCTGCAGGGGTAGGTGGTCATGTTGGTGTCTTGGTGATATGACATTTGTCACTCTTCAAAGGAAAGGTCTCATGAATGGGGAAGGTGAGTGTCAGGGATGTGGGGGAGGGAGCCGTCTTGGTTGTCGATCTCTGGGGCCACTGAGGGGCAACTGGAGCTAATGGGGGAACCTGGCAGTCATCCAGTGCCCCTGAGGACTGGGTTTATTCATGATTACTCACCTGGCAACAGAGGGTTTCTGATAAGAAATTGTCGTGCTGCTCTTGCACACAGGGTTGGAAGTCATTGCTGCCTTGAGTGTTAAGCACTGTGCCACAGCGCTCTATTCCTGTTGAGTATGTTGTATCCTTCCACAGCAACACTTAGTTAGGGCCAGGGACCTGGCTTTTCCCACCTCCTGGTCTCTGGATAGTCTTGCTATCTCTTCTGTTGTTGTTTTCCTATTTCAGGACTTTGCAAATGTTCTCAGGTTTGATTTTATTTTTATGTTTTTTAATTCATGTCTGTTGCTAAACCGAGTGCATTTTTAAAAATCTTTGTGGAATTTAAGGTTCTAAGAGCATTCCTGTCCCTGAGACAGTGTTTTGTTTTTTCTCTCTTACCTACAATTTCAGTTTCTTTTTTTATCCTGGTGGCAGCTTGGTGAGTTGTGGCTGGAGCCGAACAAGGTGGAGGTGGGAAGCATGAGTCACTGTGGTCCTGCAGACTGGGCTTCTCTTACTTTATCTCCCGCCTTAGCTGTGCTGGGGCTTGTGTCCACCAGCCAAATGATGCAGTTTGGACTCTTGGGGGGATAGAGAATATCAGTAAGACATTAGCTCAAGATTCTGAGGCCCCAGGAAGGCACCCAGTGGAGCTGTGGAGTTGACGGCTTCCCTAGAAATACGCCATGTGTAGCCAGGTTTCTCCGGGCTACAGATGAGGGTCCCATGGGTCCTGGCTGCCTGGGTTCAAGTTTATCCATCAGCCAGCCAGCTAGCTTGTTCTCCCGTCTCCGCTGGGCTTTGCCTGGGCATGGTGCCGAGGTCAATTCACCAGAGGATATTTGATTGTTTTGAGATGCTTGTGATCACATCGCAGGTTTTTTTTTTTTTTTTTTTTTTTTTTTTTTTTTCCCTTTCCCCTGTGTGCCCGTGCAGTGGGCTGAACCAGGCAGATTTTTCATTGCTCAAGCTCTTCTGACTGCGCTTCCAGTTTGTCTCATAGAGGAACACTAGTCAGAGAGACAAAGCTTCCTAGTGGCCCTGTTTCTGCTTTGCCTTCTCCAGTTGCTGGTGACCTGGTCCTTAGAGTAGGTAATGGAGCTTTGCTCTGAATGAGCCCATGGCCTCCTGAAAGGAAGATAGGAATTTCAGAGTAGGCAGGCGGTGGGTGGGAGTGAGCGGTGGGCATGAGCCATAGTCCTGAGACTCTCCACGTTCCAGTCTCCTACCAGAGACCAGCGAAGGAACCTCATGTCACATTTTACATTCCTAACCTTGCGTCCCAGTATTCCGTCACTATAGGGGGAGGCCAGGGCCCATCACCCACTTTCTTTTGCTGAACTAAATAAGGATTGTTAAGTTATGGGAATGTAACTTGGTGCTATAGCCCTTGCCTAGCATGCAGGAGCCCCAGGATTGGATGGACTGCCCTTAAAAAAGGAGAGGAAAGTAATTGAAGCCCTGTGGTAGGTTAATGATGAGGGATGAAGAAGCAGGTTCTTGTACTTAGCCGCAGCAGAGAACACCTGTGGTATCAAGCAGGAGCCAGGCAGCCTGGTCCACACCCACCAGAGGCTCAGTGGAATGGAACCCACAGCCCATCAGTGGTAATCTCTGTCTACTGGTAAATTCCAGCCCAATAGCACTTCATCTAAACCAATACCTGTGAATGTGTTTTCTTCGTGTTACTGTATTCTAGGGAGTGGGGTGTTAAGTGGGGTGTAGCAGTTTCTTCTGTGGCATTGTTTTAGTGAATGTTGAGACAGAATAGTTCAGGTTGGCTTTGGATTCACTGTATAGCCTAGGATGACCTTGAACTTCTGATCTTTACTGCTCTACCTCTCTAGTATGGAGATTGTGGGCATGCATCACACCCAGTTTTATTCCTTCTGTGGGGGTAGGGGGGTTGAATCTTGGGCCTAGTATGCTAATAATCAAGCCCGCAGATGTCTGTGACTTTTGGCTCGGCCCGCTGGGAAGATCCTTGGAAAAGTGCAGACGTGCCCAGAGTTGTTCCTTGAAGCAGGTAGCTGCTCTGGAGATTCTGAGGCAGACAGCGATGTGGTGTGCCCCAGGCTTCCCTCTCCCTGCTTGGGTGAGGAAGTTTCTAGCAAGGTAGGCGCTGCATAGTCTGTTTTCACTGTTCTCTGTGGCACACTTCAGCCACTGAAAAGCCACACAGGAAGGCGGCTGAAGATTGGGGTGCAAATGTCTTTCACTAAAGCACCTGTTACTTTTCTTTTGGTCTTCAGCATGGCAAACTTTCCTTCAGACTGAGCAGACATTTTTAAAGAAAGATTTCTTAATGAAAGCTGTAATAGTGCCCCTCCATAGTCAATTATTTTACTAATCTAGCTGCCACAAAAAAGAACATACCCTTTGAGCAAGGATATATTTGCAAATAAAAAAACACGCCACAGTGCTTTTGTATGGACGTGTCTTATTTTCTATAGCTCCTACCGGCCACCCAGCTCCTCCTGATTTAGCTTCTCTGAGCAGAGGCCTCCCTCTGGGCCACCCATCTCCTTAGACATCAGTGTTTCTCTGTCACCGGTGTTGGATGCAGCCTCTTTGCTGTCAGGGTGGATGGACTGTTTTCCTGGTCGGCTTGGCTTCATCTAAGCACCTCTCACCCTGGTCCAGCAAGCTACAGGGGAACAGCAGGCCATTGCTTCCAGCCCTGGCACCTGCTGGGTCTAATTTCCTTGCACTCTCCCAAGAATGATGGCCAACTTGATTTTGAATGTGTTGTAAGGGACTCTGCTTTTTGGACAACTTAAGAGGTAACAGGAGGCATCTGAGAAAGACTCTCAAGGGTGAATTGCACTGGAAAGACACGAGCAGCCTGTGGCTACATGGTGGTGGGCACTACTGCAGGCTGCCATCTGTGACAGGAAATGGCACTCGGGGAGTGTGACAGTCATGTGAGCCAAGCCATGGACAGTGGTTGTGGTGGCCTAAGGTGTGAGGCAGGCTGGGTTAAGCACCATGGCTGAGTCCCTCAGGACCGAGGGACTCCTTGCCTTTCTGACACACCCCAAACCACCCTGGCTGAATCACCGCTTGGTTTCTCTCTGAGGATCCTAATAGTCAGCAGAGACTCTTAGTACCCTGCAATCTTGCAACCGTGTGTGTGTGTGTGTGTGTGTGTGTGTGTGTGTGTGTGTGTGTTTTCAGCTCCACTGAGGACATGAGGAAGGCCTGGAACTTGAGCAGGAGAGGAATGGACAGCCAGAGAGGCCTACAGCTTTGCTGGGGTGTGGGTTACACACCACAGCCTTAAGGCCAGAATGTGTGAACTTGGGCAGGTGGTGACTTCCAGAGTAGGAGTAACGTAAGGGCCCAGTATGACCATTCTTTACTGCCACCTCCCTCCGCACCAAAATGACATATAGGAGACGTTCTGATTTGCCTCTAGTTGTCATGTCACATCCCATTTTCCATCCTCTATTACAGATGCTTTCGTGAACAGCCAGGAATGGACACTCAGCCGATCTGTACCGGAGCTCAAAGTGGTGAGTGACACCTATGGCCTGTGGGAGGGCGGAGGCTAGAGTAAGCAGGGTGTGAGTGTGCATTCTGTTTCCTGGGGTCTGAAGGCTGGGGCATGGTGTGTCTGTGATGTGTGCACCTGGGCAATACTGTCATTGGCAACAGGGAAGCTAGAATTTTGGGTGTGCCTGGAAGTGCCATAATTGCCATCTAACAGATGGTGGCGCGTGCACAGGACTAAGGCTGGTGTCTGTCCCCCACCTTGCTCTGTGCTGCTCTGTGTCTGCATCCTGTGTGTGCACGTGTGTGTATGCATTTGCCTCTGTGTTCTGAACCTGTCCCTTTCTGGGTGGTGTGACAACCTCTGTAACAAGCCATCCATAGTCATAATTTTTGTCATAAAGTAATGACTGTTTATACAGTCATGAGCTCTTGGTGTAAGTCAAGAGTTGTGCTTTTTAATATAAGCAACTTCCAGCAGAGTGAAAGCTCGTGGCTGGCTTCTGTGAATGTTGTCCATTGCAGTTTCATAAAGATTGGCCAGTTTCAGATACTTCTGGTAGGAAACCCGAGGGTGCTAACCCCTCTGGTTCCACAGTCAGTGACAAACAGCAAGGCCAGGGTGTTTCCACAGGATGTTTATGAAGCAGGCTCCTGGACATGCTCTGCCTGCAGGTTCCATGTAATTACTGCCTTCAGTCCTGACAGTTACCCCAGGAGGGGCAGGTCCTGTTGTCACTTGTGTCACAGATGAGGTTTGGAGCATGAAGAGCTTCCTGAGAAGCCATCTACAGTAGGGTAGAGCTGGGATTCGAAGCTTGGAGAGGAGAGCCTTCTATGTATCCGTCCCCACTGTTGCCATAGCGCCTGGCCCCAGGTGTCCATTTAAGTCTGTACAGCAACCGAGTGGGCTGGGGTGGGTACTTCAACCTCCTGGCAGTGCAGGAGAGATGGCTGGGAACCAGGTGTTACTGGATTATCTTCCCGAGAGCCTGCCTGTACTTAAAGGTGTTGCAGGTTTCAGGGCCTGAGTGGTTTTTGTTTGGCTGGTTTGGGCTTTTTAAGATAGCATCTTACTTACATACTTGGCTGCTGTGGAACTCACTATGTAGCCAGGCTGGCTTTTAATTCACCGTCTTCCTTGCTCAGCCTCCCAAGTGCTAGAACTAAACAGGCTTGTGCCATTACACCTGGTCCAGTCCATGTATTCTTATCAGCCAGTCATGAAGATGAGCACTCCCCAAAACTTCCTGATGTGGTTTTCTGTCATAAGCGTTTGGTGTGTCTAGCAAGTATTGACATTTAAAGCGACAGGGTAGGGTTCCTCTAAATGTGACTTTCTTAATGCTGGGCTGCCTTGAGCTCACTGTGATTGACTTGCCTTGTAGTTAAGGGCTCATCTGTGGTTTGAGAAGGGCCATTAGCTGTGCCTTGGTGTGCGCCCTCTTGTGGTGGCTTCAGCAGGCACCTCATTGTCAAGGGCACCTCAGCCTGTCTTTGTGTGGTGAGGATGCCCAGGTCTGAAGAAACACCCCTTTGTTCTGTGAAGCATTTCCCTTCCCATGCCCACAGGGCTGTTATTGTTTCTGCTCCCGTGCAGCACTCGGGACTGGTGGCCCTTTAGGTCATCGCCTTGGGACCCTCAGCCCTGCTTGGAAACGTAGTCGTGGAATGATGTCACTGATTCTCCCAATAGACCTTTTATGAAGGGAGTATTTTCCAATGAGTCTTTGGAATCTGTCAGGATGTACAGTTCACTGTTGCTCCTTGTGAGACTGGTAGGCCTCTGCCTGGGGTTCTTTGAGGTTGGGCTGTAGTTGCTTTTAGCACTGTAGATCCGTGCCAGGCTGTATGGGCTCCATGCCTCTGTCTGAGTGGAAGCCGTAGACAGACGTTGCCTGCAGAGGTGCCACTGTCTATTTTGCTTATACTGTCAGCTGGAATTTTTTAAAATAATATATTTATTTGCATTTTGTGTGCATTGGTGTTTTGCTTACATGTATGTATGTCTGTGTTATAGTGTCAGATTCCTTGGAATGGGAGTTATAGACAGTTGTGAGCTGTCATGTGGGTGCTGGAAGAGCAGCCCATGCTTTTAACAGTTGAGCCATCTCTACAGCCCCTCAGCTGGGGTCTTTAACTAAAAGGCTCCATTTGTTTTGCAGTAGATTTGTGTTTAGTGGTCAGAAGAAAACACAGGGTGTTAGAGAATTGAGGTTATACAGGGACTGTGCTTCGCTTCTTGGGGTAGACAGCATGGGGCACAGAGCCCTAACTGATGCTTGCACGGGCGAGGAGGGGTGACAGTGCCTATCTGATGTACCCAGCTCTGTCATTATCAGGTCACCTCCTTTCTGCACATGAAGCCCTTTGGCTCAGGCTGAGTTATTTCCTCCTAGGCAAGTGACATTTAGGAGCAGTTGTCAGTTTCTCAGGAGGGCCACATTCCTGACAATAGTTTCTGCCAGTGTTTCAAGTTCAAACAATGCCATTCACAATCTGTGAGATGGGTATGCAAGCCAGGCAACCTCCATCCCCAGCCCAGGGTAGCTGGCGCTGACCTGCTCAAGGATACCTTTGTCCATTGTTGCAGAAAAGAGTGGCTGGTGTCACCGCACAGAGAAAGCCCAGCTGCACAGTGCTGGATTTCTCCCTCCAGGAAGAGAGAGTGATCTTAATTAAACATTTCATTTCTGCGGCATACTGGCTTGGATTTTCTTAGCCTGGAGCTGACAAACAGCAGGTGCCCTTGAGCAAACGAATAATTAATAGGCAGATATTCTCAAACCGTGGAGGCTCAAGGTAGGAAGATGCAGGTTGGACTTGGAGCAGGGACAGCTTTGTGCAGGAGCCGTCTACATGCTCTGGCCCTCAGCCCAGCTCTCAGTGGTAGAAGAGCTCATTTATATTCCAGTGTTAGTCATTCATCAGCCATTCACACACTGAATCCGTGGGGGCTGTGTCCCTTCCTTGGGCTGGGTGCCTTGGCAGGGCAGAGAACAAGATAGGCAAGACACGGTCAGTCCCTTGCTATAAGGAGTGGCAAGTCACATTAAGGGCTGTGTTGTGCAGTACTGCAGCAGCAGGGCAGCTTGCTGGCCCCAGGTGAGGCTGTGACATTAGAGTGTCCTCCTCCATCCAGGCTGCTGTGACAAGATCTGGTATGGTGGCTTGTGAATAGTAAAACCTCTCTCCGTAGTTCTTGGAAGTCAAAGGAACCTGCAGATTTGGGGGCTGGTGAGGATTTAGGGGTCATCTGCATTATAGATCACAGTTGGGATGTTCTTTCCCATCTCCTCTCAGAGGTCCAACCCCCAATGCATCTCCCAGGGCCTGGGAGACACAAGCATTTAGAAACCAATAGAATTGGTCCTCAAAGATTGTGATATCTGAGCTGGCCAGGGCTCTGATTAATCAGTGTGGAAAGCTCTAGTCACCCGGAGACAGCAAAGCCAATAGAGATGAGGTAGGTAGCTTGTGAACATAGGAGACAAAGCCAGGAAGTAGGACCCTGAGTGGCAGAGGGCTGCAAGCATGGGGAGAGGGCAAGGGCAGCCTGTGGACTTGGGGATAGTCACACAGACCAGTGGACGATGGGGACAGGTGGGACTTCAGGGAAGAACACGGCATTGATATATGGCCATTGAACAGAAATTAGAACACACAAGGCTACTGAGTGGGAGAGCTCCCTGGACGGAGGGAGAAGTGCAGGGCTCCCAGCACAGGCCAAGCGTCCTTTCCCTAGAGCACCAGTATCAGCCTTGCCTCCCTGGGCACTGCCAGGCAGAGGCACTCACACCACCCTTCCCCTCTCCTGTTACTTTCTGCTAGCTCACGGTTGTTTTTCTCTTGGTTGTGTATTTCTGAGAGGCAGGCTTGCTCTTTATGCCCCATCCTCCATCCCAGGTACTCCCACCTCCAGCTTTCCCAAGTTCACCTTCTTAGGGTGGAATGTACCAGATGGCCCCGTCTGCAAACTACCCTGTGTGGCATTGGGTCTCATGGAACCTTCCCATCTGAGTATATAGGGAGGCTCCTATCCCAGTGAACAGTTGAACTGGCACACATGTGCCCTATAAAGCCAGCAGGGGTGTCCCCAGAAGAATGCCAGCCATGCTGGCAGCCTAGCAGCATCCAGGATGGGAGCAGCTAAATCAGAGTCTCCAAGAGAAAGAGTTGCTGAGTTCATTTTTGAATACCTCTCTAACCTGGGGTTACCATGTACTTTAACTGCTGTATGCACAAAAACTAAATAAATGATTTAACAACCTGTTGTCTTTTTTTTTTTTTTTTTTTTCAGGGGATTGTGGGTAACTTGGCCAGTGGCAAGTCTGCGCTGGTGCACCGGTACCTGACGGGCACATACGTGCAGGAGGAATCTCCAGAAGGTATGTTGTTTGGCAGGTGGTTCATTACCAGATTAGGGTTTAGGGCTTACATTTTTTCTTTAGCATATTCTAAATCATTGATGACCCATGCCAATGCCATAAGAAAGCCACCAAGCACCGAAGAGACTTAGGTATATGTTCCCTCCTATAGGGGCCTCAGTGCACTCCAGCCTTTCAAGGGTTAATCATGTGATGCCTTTGAGTGCATTTCCCCTGTAAAGTGTGTCCTCTGGAACCTTAGTTCAGAGCTGCTTCTTTGAGTGTGGCTCAGACATCTCTCAGACCTGGACACTGACCTTGTAATGCTGTTTGGTCATAGACACCAGCGTTTCTAAATCCAGTCCAGATCACCCTACTACGTGTTTGAGTATGTTTCCCTTTATATTGTATTAAACATGTAATAATCATTTTGCATGTGAGTTAGGCATTTCTTTTGCCATTAGACATTTTGATTCTTACGTTGGCATATCCATGTCTTACTGTGGTTCTGTTTCTATTTTTTTCTTTTCTTTTTTTATTATTTTTTTTTTACTTTAAGATTATGACAGAGGTAATAGGAAGCCCCATAGTCCCCTTAATCAAAGTGTAGCCCACAAGCTATTTTCTAAACTATATTTTCTCCCCATGTAACCTTTTGAAATCCAACTCTGAGACACTGAATTTCTGGTTCCTTCTCTTTCTTACTGGCTGTTCCATTCTTTGCAGATATGGATGCAGGTAACTATGCATTTTCTTCATGGCAGTGCCTGTCTCGCTCCGGAGAGAGGAGAGGCACAACTTCGTACTGTAGCGTTCCCTCCCCACCTCGTTCTGTGTCTCATCCGATTTTGTTCATTTCACCTTTTTCTTAAGTTCAGCATTTCACCCTGTTTTGTCCCTTAGCTGTCTTTTGAGTAGTAGTCCTAAGTAGCTTCACGTGTCCCCTGTAACACATGTTTTAGCCCTTTAACTCCTGTCCTAAAGGCCGTGGAACCATCTAGAAAGAACAGCATTCTGAGGGGCTTGCTTGGGGCTCTGCCACCATTCTGCAATATTTCCCAACTATGTTTTGTAAGCATCACATCAGGGAAATACCCGCTTTTCAAATTCTCTCCATGAATTGACGATTTGGGAAGAGGACAGGATCCAAACAAAGGTTTATGGATGAGACCAAATGGATAAAGGCTTGTTCTGGTGGGGTCTGCAGACCTAGGTACTTAGAATTCAGAGTATGGAGGAAGGAGGAATATAGTATCCATAACCCTCAAGACCTGGCCAGGACTATGCAAGGGCCTTCTTCTCCGTGCCCGAGTGTGAATGGTCACCGTAGCCAGCTTGACTAGATAGACTTGGAATCTATAGCAATTCTGTCTCGGGCCTTCTGTGTGGTGGGACTCACAGTCGTACAGCCTCCAAGGGTCTGCAGCTAACCCAGCTGAAAGGCAAGCATATGCCCTTTTCAGTTAATGCCCATTCAGTTTTGAATGTCTTCCAACACCTGCATTTTGGTCTAGGATTGCTAGAAGTTCCAGGCCAGCCCCGTCCCTGGATCTCTTGCTGTCACTCTGTGGCCCAGAGGTCTGTGGATCTAAAGATAGATTGTGCTGAAGTTGCTGACTCTAAAGGAAGAGGCAGAACCATGTCTACTTTTGGTCATTATTGTGATGTCTATCATTTTCCCATGGGACATTCAGTCTGTCTTAACACACAGGTGTCTGACTTGATTTATTTGCAGTGTAGAATATGACCTTCTATTTGGATCAACACAGCAGCGTTTCTCTCAAATGTTCACACATCAGAAGTAAAAACTGTAGCTTGTGAGCTGACCTCACTGGCTGCTAACACCTCCCCCATATCTGCAGACTGGGAGTATATCATTCCACTGGCAGACACACAGCTGAGGAATCATGGACCTGGGGGACAGAATTCAGGATCTCTCTGACAGCCTCGCCCTGTCCGCCTGTCCATGCTCTTGCTGTGGACCTTGGGCTTAGGAAGGTTGTTCTGTGTGATGGCGGAGCTTAGAGCCCAGGTGTACCCAACAGAATATAGCTGAGTCTGTTGTGAATGAGGAGACCTCTGCATGCCTGGGAGCCTCTGGGCCTGGACAGGTCTGTTACCCTGGAGCTGCCCGTGTCTTCCTATGTGAACATGGCAGGTAGAGTTATTGTCTTTGTGCTTCTCAAGATCTGACAGCTGGTTTCTATTCCCTGTCCCCACGATCCATGGGTCTTACATTAGCATCAGGAGGCAGAGGACTGTGTCAGGAGCCTTTTGTTCCTCACACTGCTGCCTTGCAATCCCAAGATTCCTCTGTGAGGTCATCAGGGAACTCACAGCTGGAGATGGTTGCAGTCTTTCCCCATGAGTTAACAACCAGTTACCCATGCTGACTGAAACTGAGAAGCTGTGTATGGATGGTGCTGTAGGATTGGCATCTGATTTACTGTCTTTATCCAGGAGTGTGGAGAGTCTTGGGTGACGTGGGTCATGGAAGTTTTCAAGGATGGCTGTAGCTCCACCTTCCCTTGGTTGGCTCATTAGCACCCAGGTGGGAGGGTGCAGCTCATGGGAGGAAGGTGTGGTTGGTACCTGGCTGAAACTTTGGGTTTGGAGTGAGCTGTGTGACCCTCCAATTTCCTTTTGATTTGTCTTTTGTGACACTTTATTTTCTGTCGCTGTAACAAATGCCCAAGATTAATTGCTTTGGGAAGAAAAACTGGTTTATTTTTTATTTTAGCCCACAGTTGGAGAGGCTGCATGTCCAGGATTGGTGAGCTCCTTGTTTGTTTTGGGTTCTGGTGAGGACCTATAGTGGTATCACATCCAGAGAAATCATGCATGACCGGGACATGATGAGACAGGAAGCTGGAGTGTGGGGTGGGGCAGGGTTGCTCTTTATTGAGAATGAACCATGATACTTTCAGGCCTACATTAATCCCTTCTGAGGGCTATTCCCCACCTGTTAAAGGATTCAGCACCTTCTGTGGTTAGGAAGCGGGATTCCCTTATACAGACCTCTGGAGAGATACATCCTTCAAACCATGTCGAAGCCACAGAAATCTCCTGAATGCTAGAGCAGTCAGCTGGATAGCTGCTGCTCAGCCATGCACATGGCTGTGTGTCTGCCAGTCTGTGCAGCTCACTGAATTCTCCCCATTCTTGTTCATGGTGGTGCAGGTTGTTCCTCTGGTCCAATACGTACAGTACATAAATATCATTTGCTGTAGTCCTGACTTGCCCTAGGATGTCTGGGTATTGGGAAGGATAGTGTGTTGAGGAGCTTAAAACGGAACTGTCTTTCAGAAGAGAGTTGCCTCTTGGCAGGAACATTCCTCGTGTCTCGTGTAGTCATCCCAAAGTGTTTTCTTCAGATGCCTCTCAGCGTCACCTCACAGGGTGGCTCTGTTGTCTTTTCTTGAGTGGCACCTTTTTAGTTGACATTTTATTCTATGAAAGAAGAAAGTTGACCTGAAAGCTTTGGAGATACAGTTCAGAGAAAACACATTATGCATTATGCTTGATGCTACTTTTAATTAGTGACTTAGAGCAATCCAGCTTGTCTCAGCAAGGATTTTGTGATCCGTGGATGGAGCTCTTAGAGTGTCATTTGTGTATAGGTGAGAACATTTGTAAATGTGTGTTTGTGATTTATGATTGATACCAGAGTCCCAGTAAAGTCCCTTGGCAAGTTTGGTTCCTTGAGGAGACAGGGAAGCTCTCAGTGGTGATGGTGTTGACTGGTGGTATCTGCCCTCTGGTGTCTCCCAACTTTCTTGGGCTCCAGAAGTTCTAGGTGTCCCTGGCTATTGACATCTTCTAGTCTCGGTCTCTGTTGTCACATCTTGTTTCTCCGTGTTGGCATTTTCTTTATCCCAGGAGAACACCCGTGGTTTGATTTATGGTCTAGCCTATCTAGTGTGTCTTCATTTGGATTCTATAACTGTGGGCTGTTTCCAAATAAGGTCCTGTCGGGTACCCAGCATGTGGTTTTGCCATTGATGTGTTTGTCTATTTATTTATTTGTTTGGTTTGTTTGTGGAGACTCACTATGTCATCCAGCTTAGTCTTGAACTATAAGCCATCATCCTGGCCAGCCTCCCGAGTGTTGGAGTTATGGCTGAGAGCCACTGCAGTTGGCTTAGTGGTGATGGTTAGGATGAATCTTTGTGGGGACACAGCTCTACCCATATGTGTGGTGTTTAGCCAGGCACCATACCCAGAGCTCTGGAGGAGGGTTCCGCTCCTTCTCCTCTCCTGCTCATGGGTTGATTAGTGCTGCTGGCATTATTGAGTCTCACAGGACAGGACCAGTTTGGGTGTGACCTTCGCACCTTCCTTTCAAGGCCCTATTAATAGCTGCTAATTAGAGTTGTGAGTAGTGTCTGTAATTTCAGTTTCCCCCTCATGTGTTAGGTGCTTAGCATGCACTGTGCACCTGCCTCCCCTCATACCGAACACTTGTGTTTTATGGGAATCTTAACTCTCCATGGGAGAGAGAAAAGAGAGAGAGAGAGAGAGAGAAACAGCTTGTCAGCAGCATGTGAGAGGTGTTGGGAATCATGTCTCATCCCAGACACGTACCTTTGTATCCTCCAGGGATGATAGGCCGTGGGCCCTGGACAGACCCCCTGGGTGTTGTTTCTGCCTGTTTGTGGATTGTGGTCCCTAGGGGCTCTGCAGATGGAAGGACACAGACCATGGAAGCTCAGTGGGCACACGGGGGTGGGGGTGTAGGTGATGGATTGATTAGAAGGCATTAGTGTTAAAGGTGGCAAACCTGAGGATGGCCATGGACTGCCTTCCTGCAGTGAGATCCTTGATCACCCCTAGCTGATAACTTCCCAGCCACAACCTGCTGGTGGCACAGGGTTAAAATGTGGATTGAAGTCGTGTTGCCAGTCGACCCCCTTCTTTTACCCAGATCCAGAATAAACAAACCCACGCTTGGGTAAAAATTAAAGTACGTGGAGTCTGTGGCCCACCTGCTACAGGCCTCACACACTGCCTGAAGAGGTAGG